AGATCATACACGGTGACAACATCGTCATCTTCTATGCCGGGCACGGTTCACGCTACCCGTTTCAAGTGAAATGTGGCGCGATCGAATACATCGAAGCGCTCTGCCCTATCGATCGCGACACTATTGGTGACGATGACAAACCAGTCCCCGACATCAGCGACCGGGAATTTAACACTATCTTAACTCGAATCTCTCAGGCGAAGGGCCATTGCATCACCGTCATTCTCGATTGTTGTCACTCGGGTAGTGTCAGCCGAGGCGTACCTGGGGCGGGAGCGCGAACGTCTTCCCCAACGAGGTGTGCGACACTTCAGGACATGCTCATTGCTGGGGACAAGAAACTGAGGGGCTCTCCGGGCTACCGGTCCATTTCGTCGAAGGACTGGCGCTCAGATATGAGTTCACACGTCGTGATGGCGGCCTGCAAGGAGTATCAGTTTGCGACGTCAAAAATGGTGAAAGGGGAGGACGAGGCGGAGCGACATAATGGGATATTCACAGACTCGCTCGTGCGAGTACTCCGGTCTGGATACTACACGAGAGAGACGACATACGTTGATCTCGTTCATTCCTTGCATCAGACGCCCCACCAGATGCCGATCGTTGCCGGAGAACATAGGAACGCCCGTATCTGGTATCAAGAATGAAGTTATGGGCCATCTGCTTCATTCACTTGTAATCTTTTCTACTGTCTATGCTTTACTTTGCTCGCCTAGTTGCTTTTGATAAGTTTTTTCTGTACATGCCATTGATGTAGACATACGAAGGGGATCATGATTGTAGTTGTCTCACCTATGTGTTTCTTCATTCTTTCCTTGAACGTGCCCATGACAATCCTCGGAAGAATTTGCGTAGATGTGCTACATTACAACAAAGCAAAGGTCGTCGGCCGGCAATCTCCGGAACATCCGATTTTACTCTTTCGCGCTACGAGCTTTTCGTGAAGATGACAATGGTATGCCTTTTTAGCCTTGTCTTTTCCTTTAGCTAAAATATGATTAAGACTCGTAGGTCCAAAAAAAAAACACATATCTATCCGAATACGACAAGGCCTGACTCAGAGTTGCATTATCGTGGACTCCGGCCAGCTTACTCTATCGGCTTGAAGAACATCGCTACCTCATCAAGGTTCACTCATGCCTCTATACCTATGCCGACGTGCTAAAACACTGCACAGAAGGTATGTTAACCGCTTTCCAAGTTTGTGTTCGTTAGCCTAAACGTTACACCTCATTTGTCAGGCTCTCAATAATGATATCGCTCTCCTCAAATTCAACGACTCTTCCCGTGGCATAGCACATACCTCCCATACGTCAACGGAAACGCACATGTATCACGTCCGGTGGAGTCGTCACTATGCATGTCGTCGCGAGAAGCCCGATATCCCATATATCACAAACGTACTACTTACCTGGAACTCATCTTTGTCCAATTCGGCTGTCTTACCCTTCCTCACTGGAACGAAGTACACAACAAGGGCGAACGAACAAAGTATGTTATGCCGGCCTGCAGTATTTATTTGTCCTGCCAGACCGGGAACTTGTACGTTCAAGGAGGACGTCGGCCGTGTGCTACATAATCGACCATTGTATTTGGGCGATGACCAAAACTAGTGTTCAAGTGCACAGAAATACTGAATATCACGGTTAACACGGGGCTAGTGCCGGAGAACAGAAAGGATATTTAAGCCGATCGTGTGGTATGTGAACATTCAACTACTTCAGTCCCTCGTTCACCCCTTCACCAGGACTTTGCTTGCTCCAGTCAGCACGGTGTTCGAAAAATACGTAAGCTCCTTGAGAAATTCATGGCCCTTTCCCCTAGTTTGTCTCTCAGCATAATCGTCTCCCCTTCTCGCCTATCTTAACATGAGCGCGTTTGACGCACTCATTAAGAGCCCCGAGAAACCATCGATCACTGGACTAACCCGGGGGTGCTTGGTTCTCGCTTCCGGCTTCAATATTAGTAACACCAACGATATCTTCGAGCCTGACTCAGATGCATACTGTCTCTTCGGGAAGGTACCGGCCAACACCTCCAGACGAGTAGGAGTACTTCCTGCGACCACAAGTTGCTATCCCGATATCTGTCTTATCTCACTCAGCGAGCGAAGCTAGTCCTCTTCCACGTTGCTGCATGGCGACTCTTCATGAAGGAGTCAGGCAACCTCCCTCTCCATGCTGAGCTGACAGACTTCTCAAGTTCCAGGACGCGCTCATGTGCATCTCTAGTTCTCGTTCGATCGGGTTTTCGTTTGATGAGCGTGAAGCCCGTGATAATGACGTAGGGAGCGACTGAGAAGCTGGCGGATTCTGTGGTCAGGGATGGGTATCGACGACAGCGATGGAGGTTGCAGCGAAATATCAGTGAGGGGCAGTCTCCCTTTCAAGATGGGTCCTCCGTACTTTTGAATTTGGTCGCCCCTCAGAATGGCTGAGGGCGGTGGTAAATGAGGATCGTCTGGGAATACATATGCCATAGACTGTCTTCATATATTTCGCTTTCTATCTATCATGGATTTGGGAAACAGTTATATTGGACTCAGTATGGAATATTGACACGTATGAGCCAAAATGACAATATTATTATGAAAATTGAGTGGGTTAGGCTTGAAGCAAGAATAATTTCAAGTGATACTCATAACTTCATCTCCAGGATTCAAACCGGTTACCAGATATGGTGGAAAAGCAGGCCATGAAAAACGTGCCAGAGGTCGAGTGTAGATCTAGCTAGGAGATCAATGTTTCTTGTTGAGCCACTTTGTATAGCTGAAGGTCCAGGGTCCGGGTTTCAACATAGGCAAAGACTTGGCTCAAACTCAACATTGCAGAGACAGGGGATTGGATGCGGAGCCCATAAGGATCTAAGATGATACATATGAATTCAAATGTCGGAATCACGATTCAGAGAATGGCAGAATCCACATTTTCAAAAAGACGGATGAACACTGAAAAGTGTAAAATGAAATCTTCCCAAAAGTGTTTAGTGATGACACCAGCCTGCACACTCAGAGAGTAACAGATAAATCACTTCAAATCTCTTCATTCTAATCTGTCGCCTTAACCACTTGGCTATAGTACCGTATACAATTTTACACATAGTGATCAGAAATTTGGTTCGGTCTAATGAAGATTTTAAATTTGCGTCTTATTTGCTCCTCGGTGCCAGTGCCGCTTCCACCATCGCAACCGTATGATCCCAAAGTTTTTGTCTCTGTTCTTCATCCCCATAGTATCGCTTCTTTCCCATATCCTCGCCTCTGCTGCCGACTCTAAACGCGCCTGCCGCCTTTTGCAGGGTCCCATGCCACATATACTCTGCGCAATCTTGTGGTGAAATCGTAAATGGATACATCAGACCCATGATGAGCGGTGCAGTGTATCGAAATACGGCGGAGGGGGATGCATAGACGTAGTTGGTGCGCACAGCTCCAGGGAAGGCATGGATGAACGAATGGGAGGGGTAGCGCAGTGCGAAGGCCTGTATGTGCGTCAATGAGTACAGTACGGATTACGGGAGATAGTGATACACACCTCGGACATCAAATCGAGGTATGTCGGTATTCTCAGCCCCACTTTGACGGCAGAATAACCCTTCTTCATATCCAGGTCATCCACGTCGATGCTCCCTCCACTTCCAGGCGCCATGACAGACACCACCTTGGAACCCTCGTCTTTCAACGAACCTACTAAATCCTTGACAAACTTCCATTTCGCATAATATGCGACCGCCATTTTCCTGTCCATTCCCTCCTTCGTTTCTTCCCTTCCCGCCGTGGTGAGATATCCAGTCGTGAGGACGAGAAAGTTGACCTTCTTTTCCCCGAGATGCTTCTTGACCTCCTCTGTAGCACTGGCGACATTGGACATGAGGCTGGCGTCGCACGAGACGAATTCGCGGATGGGTTTCACCGATGAAGAAGGATGAGGAAACGAGTCGATGATTTCCTGTGCAGCCTTGGCATTCCGTCCGACAATGATGATGTTGGCGTTCCCTTGTGTATGAGAGGCGAGCGATTGGGCCATGGCCTGACCGATTCCGGCGGTGCCGCCGAAGAAGACGGCAGTGGGGGCGGTCAGGGAGGAAAATATGGAGGCATTGGATGCTCGTATGCTGGCGATGGACATCGTAGCAGTAATCGTTCCATTTGGCGGAAGGAGGTGGTTAAGTATGCAATTTCTGCCGGCGATGTGACGCGTACTAAGTCGCGTGTCCGGCCGGCACGATGACCAAACCCGGCATGATCTGCGAGGCAATTGATTCGCGAAGCACGCAATAAACACACAAGGGGAGAGGGCAACGGTTGGAAGAGATTGCGCTGAAGAATGGCCGTCAAATACCCTTGAGGCCCTGTGGCACTGTATTGAGATATCTTGGCACAGCCAACCCATATTTCAAAGACCTGGTTTTTCATCGAAGCTCATTTACCAAGTAATTCCTGAGACCGGTAGCCCTAAATATTGACTCTTGAAGCTCGACTAGCCTAGTTCTTGAATAAAAATCAGATATCGGCCCTTAGGTAGGGTTGCGCACGAAACCCCCAGTTTTGATACACCCCGGTTTCGGACCGGTAAGTTACCGGTAAGAAACTGGTAAGAAACCAGAGGTCAGTGGAGCATATTTCATTGAGGTAACTTACCGACCACGTGACAGGGAGAAGGATTCTTAGACTTAGATGTGTATAAAGAAATAAGAAGACGTAGCCAGAGAATTCTGATAGGTATTGGGACAGAATTCATGAGTATTTGAGGTACGACAATGGGGCAGCGTAGCGTCACGGCGTCGTACAGAAGAATTTGGAAAAATGGCTCCGCCGCAGTCACGTGAATGGTCCCGTGACCTGTAAGAAACCGTAAATTACCGTACCAGTAAGAAACCCCCCAGGGAGGGTGGGTACAAAACGGTATCAAACCCTCCTGGAGGTTTCGTGCGCAGCCCTACCCTTGGGTGTTGAGTCTTGACACGTAAGAATCGTCTTTTATACAAAAGAGTCTTTCATACGACACCAGCAGGATTTGAACCTGCGCACTCAGAGAGTAACAGATGGACCTCCCAAGGCAAGTTCTAATCTGTCGCCTTAACCACTTGGCTATAGTGCCATAATGCAAGCTCGACGTTATGCTTAGAAGTATAAAGTCTAGGCCAGCTTACTAAGTATTGAACAAGTGAGATCGCCCGGCTTTGGACTCACCCATGCGCCGCGATTACACCCCGTGTCGATACCAATGACACCGTCAGCTACCAATGGACAACTTCCCGTATCTCATTTACCTTGACTGTGACGTGATTATTGGGGAGTTTGAGGTAAGGACTATACTGGCGTGGAGATATACCGTGACAGCAGAGAACTCAAATGTCCCGAGGGTCTCATACTGGTAACTGTACCAGGACACTGCTCAGTCGCCATTGGTCAGTATCATGGTAGGTCGTTATTCAAATGTTGACAAAAGCGTCCTCATTGCCAGCAGGCATTGAACCACCTATCCAGCATTCAGACATATAACATACGGAACGTGTACCTCCCGAAGGCAGAAAGAGAAAACAAGGCAAGCAATGAGAACTCCGAGCCAGCCGCTCCGTGCATTAATATACGAGGATATAATTGCTCCGGTCCTTCGCTGTGCTGAATTGAATTCTACGCATGCTTTGCTATCTGAGCTTTTTTGAACGAGCTAGCGAATGCCAGCTTGAGATATCTCCGGCCGAAATGATCCTCGTGATGAGTTGTTGAAGTTGGATACGCTACCGTGACATTGAACGTTGACCCGGCTACCTCCATCCAACCTCCACGATCGATAGCGCTCAGACCTTGATTACCGTAGGCGTGTAACGTCTTGCTTTCCCATGCTTGCAATTATCTTTCCGATTCATCGACGAACTCCCGCACACTTCTACGTCTCCTTGACCACTCTCGACGGAGTACACTTGTCGAGGCGAAGCGCAGCCTCGGAGGAGATTATCAAAGAGATCGTTACCAGAGACGCCAGGCTACTATCTCCGATGGAGGCTGTCCCAGGACTTCTTTATACGAGCAAAGGTGTTGTTATCAAGAATGTTTGCTCATGATGCGATAAATTTGGGCGTAAGAAGCTGTCCTCGATCTATTGGATGAGGACACATGTCAGACGTGACTATCTTGTAATAGGAACCTGGTGCGATTATCGTCTTTCTTCTCATAATGGAATTGACTCCCGGGGTAGTTTCAATATCAATTTGACATCAACGCACCAGCGTCTCTTTCGCATTAACGTATTTCTAGGATCTTCTGACTTTGACGGTGGGGCGAAAGCGCTTTATTTGAACTCGGTGTCTGTGGCGTGATGCTGACCCGCCTTGGATGTTTTTTTTAGACCTCTCATTGAAGATCACGGTCGAAAATATATGTACTGGCTCTGTCTCTTCAGAATCGGTAAAACAACCCCAGACACAACATGCAACCCATCCCCGCGGGTTTTTCCGTGGTTGAAAGGCTGTAAGTTACAATCTACGACGCACCACCTGTCCAGCTACTTCACATTCTTCATCGCGATCGCCGTACCGTCAGACGACTACAGAGGCTTCAAGTATAATTTCACAAAGAACCCGAGGTCCCCATTAATGCATGTTTCAGGTGACAACCCGTCATCTTGGACGTCACGCGTACGTGAACGAGGAATGAATATATCCTCAGTGATGTTCATGTCCGTGTGTGGAAAATGAGCACAAATAGGATGCACGTAGTAGTGCCACGGGACGAGAATCGATCATAAGTACCGAAGCCTCTCTGTGTCCTATCTAGTTTTCCCTCTTCTTCCTCCCACAGTACCATGTCCGACTTAAATGCAAATGCCCACCCAAAGATTCCAGTTATACGCATAGTTATGACCCATCAAAGATATTCGCCGATGATGGTGTGTAGTGCAGTTCGCTTTACAGGTTACTCATTCAATCATGCTATATTCCCCACCATACTGAACATATCTCATAGGCTTGATAATCAAGCCCCGAGCGGACTCGCACCTGAACCTCTTACGCCGCAATGCGATCTTTGCTAAATACACTACGAACGACACTCTTATACAAGAGTCGACGATGATCAAAGAAGCGGCAAGCACTTGTTGGAAGCTAACGCAAAACATTCAAATGTTCGTGCTTCCATTACTTCGGTCACTGAGGCGCCTGAAATCCATAACTCGCGGTCTCTTGCAGATCTACCGAAATTCCTTCGTTCAAGCTGTCGATTTTGAGCCGATACCCTGGGCGCAATGATCATATTCTTGCTCAAGTTGAATTACAAACTGCGAGATTGATCTCAGTATTCCTGACACGCGATTTGAACCGTAAGTTACCCTTCAGTCTCATGCCATTCGCATCCTCGCTCACATTCGGTAAACATAAAGGGGGGTCTGAAGTGTTTACCCAGTTGGATAATAATGATTCAGTCCTAAAACTCGGTATGGGAGTCGTCGTTGTACCGTCACGACCTTCTTCTAATCCTTCATCGGCCGATGGAAACAGTTGGTTCGACTTACCTACCACGAACGGACAATCGGGTCTTGATCCTCCATTCAAGATTGTGATCGATTTCCTTGCATTGTTGAGCTATCGTGGCAAGCAGTTTCTGGGACGCTTCAAGCAGTTTGGTAATGAGGATGACCTACAAAAAGCAATTTCTGATCTAAATCGTTCAGTGTCGCTTACTTCGGACAGCAGTCCCTATAAACCTCATGGCTTGGACGCTCTTGGCATTGCATTCACGCTTCGCTTCCAGTTTCTTGGCGATGGTCAAGATCTTGATCAAGCGATCAAATTGGGAAGGGACGCGGTCACTTTGGCAGATGGTTACCGGGACGATAGGTTACCCCACTTGGCTGTAAATCTCAGCAATTCTTACGCTTGTCGTTCTGAATTTCTGGGAAGCCTAGATGACCTCAACTCAGCTGTTTCAGCTGCAGAGCTTGCAGTCTCTGTCTCCGCAGAGGGGGGGTGGTCGAAAGCTAGGTCGCTCTTTGCCCTCGCTAGCTGCCTCGACAAACGGTTTGAGCGGCTTGGCGAACTCAATGACATCGAGTCAGCAATTGAAATGGGGCAGCTTGCATTCTCTTCCGCTCCTGAAGGATCTGAAGGAGGTGAATTGAAGTACCAGGCATTGGTCAACACCGCCAATTCATTATTGCGCCGCTCCCATCGTCTGGGCAAATCCGATGATGTTGAAGAAGCGATTTCAGAAATGAAGAGGGCAATAGATTCAATGTCACAGAGCTCTCCTCACAGATTTGTGGTGCTGGACGGTCTCAGTGACTGCCTTAAAAGTCGCTTTGCTCTGTTTGACGACCCTGCCGATCTAGATGATGCAATCGTCAAAGGGACGGATGCTATTAACGCGATGCCTCGTAGATCTCCAACCAGGCCAGCGATCCTGGGCAACCTGAGTGGTTGCTTCTATGGGCGCTTTACACTGAATAGAGACCTTAATGACCTTAACGAGTCCATTTCATTGTTGAAGAGCGCCATCTCCGACGCTCCAGACGGACACGATTTTAAGCCAGAGTTACTCAAAGGGCTTGGCGCGCGCCTCCATGATCGTTTTTCCCAAACCAAAGATGCTAACGATATCGATGAAGCAGTTTCTGTAGGACGTCGGGCCGTGGCTTGTACCCCTGATGGTCATCCAGAAAAACCCTCTCGGCTACGCAGCCTCATGGTTTCACTTCTAGCCCGTTTCCAAGTTAACAAACGCGTCGACGACCTGGAAGAATCCATCACCGGTGGAAGAAATGCATTGTCACTTATTCCCGAAGATCATCCGGATAAAATTGAATTACTATCACAGCTCGGTGATTCAGTCGCATGTCGTTTCGAGGCTTTTCAAAATCCGTCAGATGCTGACGAAGCTACCTCCCTATGCAAATCTGCTACCCTCTCTTCAACTAGCCCGCCTTCAAAAAGACTGAATGCTGCTATATCATGGACAAAGCTACGCATGGAAGTCGATTTTCCCTCTGCATTGGAAGCATCTAAAATCGCTCTCGATCTTCTCCCCAGAGTAGCTTGGACCGGGAAGAGTATAGCGGCACGACATAGGACATTAGCCCGTCTTGGTAGTCTAGTCAATGTGGTAGCGGCATGCACGATTCAATTAGGGCACACCGATACTGCACTTGAATGGTTAGAGATGGGGCGGGCCATTGTTTGGGGCCAGTTACATAACCTTCGCTCGCCTGTCGACCTCCTTTCTGATGCACATCCGCATCTCGCCGAAAGGCTGTCCCAAGTTGCGGGTGCTTTGGAGAAGGCAACCAGTCGAGATGTTAACCTAGAACACTTCAAGGGCTTAACAATGGAGGAAATAGCAAGAGAGCACCGTCGTTTGGCTACTGAGTGGGATAGTCTAGTTGAAAGAGTCCGGGCGCTTCCAGGGTTTGAAGACTTTCTAGGACCGAAAAAGCTTGCTACACTCAAGAACACGGCCAAACTTGGTCTAGTCGTTCTCCTCAATGTCACCTCCGGGTGGTGTGATGCGCTCATTCTAATCCCCGCTCTAGACGATGTCGTCCACATCCCACTCAAGGATTTCTCTCTTCAAAAGGCCAAAATTCTACAAGAACAACTCAACAAGTCACTCTCAGCTTTTGGCGTTCGTACACGAGCATCACAACCAGTGTATGCTACTACTTTGGACAATGTGTTTATGAATGTTTTAAAGGAGCTATGGACATGCATCGTGAAACCTGTACTCTACGTCCTAGCCTTTTCAGTGAGTAATATCTCTTACATGATGCCAAAATATTTTCTAGTGACTAAACATTTCTAAGCCTTGTGATTCCACCAACCCGCCACGATTATGGTGGTGTCCAACACATGCCCTAGCATTCCTCCCTATCCATGCTGCCGGAGACTACCATACAAACGAACGGGGAACAAAGCTATCTGACTATGATGTTTCATCATACACTCTGACACTCACAATCCTTCTTGAAAAAATAGACAAAACTCGAACATTCAAAGGATTGTTAGTAATCAGCCAACCCAACACTCCAGGGATGTCGAATCTCCCCGGAACAAAAGAAGAAGTGGACAAGATCAAAGAACGAGCTAGTACCGAAGTCTTGGTCAAGAG